TGCAAAAAGCCTATTGTGTTTAACTTTTTGACGTGTTTACCACTAAGTGTGCTTAGATAGGCCATCATTATGTCAAATACCAAGCACATTTGATACTCAACACGTCACGATCTTAAGCACATTAGGCGATGCCTAAACACGTTTAGCTTTCATGTCACCAAAAGGGTGGAGCGCTGCTTTTAAATTCTCCACGCTGTTTTTCTAGTGTAGGCATTGCTGTAATAAATACACAACTTTCATATTGATGTGAGAAAGGCGATGGGTGGAAAATTAACGTGGCTTCTTTACACATGCTGTGCCCAAGTATTCATTCGTGATTCTTTAATTGGAGACTGTACAGTATATAAATCGGATTTGTGTTAGATGATCACGTTGATTGGTCTTTCCGTCTCGTATGAAAGCACCAGCTCAAATTAATTGGAAATTGCATGCGGACAAGACAATAGTACTCTTGTAAGTTGCAGAATAAACAAAAGCAAACTTAATTGCTGTGGGCAGTTTTTCCTTCCGACATAGGTGCAGTATTAACAGTACAGTAGTATAAAAATATATTGTAACATTGTTTAAGCTATATGGTCTGTGGGAAAATCTGAAAAAGAAGCATGAGTATTTGAATGGCTGTTTTAATACGTTTCCAACTTCGATGGGAAATCTAATCGAAACAGTTTTGATATTGATTTAGGGTATGTTGACACACACGGCGTAAAGACTAGCGTAGCTTACGCCGGCGTATAGGCCTATGGGGGAATAGTTTTCAGTTTTAAATAATGTACGGGTTCTTAACTGTAGTAAAATATTTACAGTGCATCATTAAAACTTTTAAATCTGAGAATTGTTCGAAGTGAAGTTTATGATCATTGTATTTTAAATGAACAATTTTACTTCTGATTTTTCAGCTAGCATTGTGGAACAATTGTTAATGCAGGTTTTAATAGACAGTCTAAATAGGTTAAAATATCTTACAAAACACAATCAACAAATCGTATACAATGCAAACTAAGTAAAATGCAATAGAAAAAGAACCCCTTTAGGCCTACCATTTTATTTATATAGAGCACAGGAAAGAGATCAAAATAACTAATCTATTGCAATCGTGATTGGTCAATCTCTTGAAATGAGGTCAGATCATTCAAGCATCACTGGCGTAAGCCCTGTGGCGTTAACTAATCTGGGGTCTGCAGGTAGCGTTAATAACGCCATGGAGGTGTGCGAGTGCCTAGTTCACACACAAAGGCGTACACCTGTCTCTTATACACATCTAGATGTGTATAAGAGACAGTATATATACTGCCTGGGATTAGATCTGCAAGTATATCCTATAAGTCTCCGTGGTCTAATGAGTATGATACTCGTCTTGATAACGAGAGGTTGCAGGTTCGAACTAATATAAAGGAACTTTTCGTTGATAGCTATGTTTGATACGATTATTACATGTTCCTATTCGAGCACTGCTACATATAATCATTATTATTTACAACTTTATATAAAGCAAAAGCTATTCCTTGCACATCCACTTCTACATTTAGCAATAGGCCTACTGAAACAATCAGATATATTATAAGCCTAACTGTTTTAACTAGTTTGATAAGAATTTGAAATATAACATTGTCATTGTATCTGAAGTAGTCAAGAAATTATTCAAATTATTTAAACAAATCTTAATGTAAAATTAACTTGCAGCCATAGAGGTCTACGTCATCGTTCATATGTCTTGGCCTTTCTCAAAACGTTGTGCTTAATACTTGATGAATCTATGCTGAAACACAACGTAACTTTACGTACTAGCACGTAGCAGTATGTTTTCGGAGCATTAAATGATAAAAAAAAATAATTTGATTTTACCTGAGTTTACGATCAATTATAGAGACGTGAATACGTCACACAGTAGGGCTAAAATGATCCTAAGTCGATCAGCCGAAGTTGGATAAACGCATTCGGTTTTTCAGCTTTACGTAACTCTGATGAACAATGTATTCTGTATCCCTCTTAGTTCAAAGTAATTACGAAATTGAAAGTTGTGATGATGCTACTTAAATCCAGCATATGGCTCCGAGATGGAAAATAATGAGCCTATGGGAAATTCCAAAATTGTCTATTATGGGAATATAAAGGAAGCTATCGCCTACAATAATCGGTGCAGAATTTGCCTAGAACAATGATTCTGCTGACAAGTTGTGTATTGAGTACTGTTGCGATAGGTGCAGGAAGGATGGACAAATATAGCATGTTGCTGTACAGTAGTTACTAATTATTTGTGATGACGCAATAAAAAAAGTTAACAATAGAAAAATTACATAATAAGGTAATCAAATATAAATTTCCCAAAATCGTTAATATAATGCATAATGTATTACGGTATTATAATTATGCCTACCGGTCACAAAAGTACAGCGTATGAACCTTAACCCAGGAGATTTACTGCCAGCATATTGCTATAATTATTTGAAAACCAATTCGATTTCGTGAGGCAATGTGGGCCTACTCAGTAACCTCAAAGTCATTACCGGTATCACATGTGTATAGTTTTAATATTAACAGACTTCAAGAGCATTAGGCCTACGGCTATCTGAGAACTCAATCACCGTATTTGTAAGCCAATGAGATCGTTTAACCCGTGGAAATATCTTAAATCTGATCTGACTCACGCAAGAAACTGCTGTGTGAATTTTAACTGATCGAAACATAACGTATGGCATCGAAATACATAATGGCATCAACACATTAGATATAATGTTGGCCTATATCATCACTCCAGGCAGCTAATTCTGTAAAGGGGGGGGGCAAATAAAGGAGTCACCCACCTCACACATTTGGTTTGGGTACCATATAATGTACTAACAACTCAAATGGGATATATTCAGGTGCGTACTGTATTAAACAAATCGCAAGACATCACTGGGTCATAGGTCAATGCGGCATGTTCAGATTTAATGTATGTTTTCTAGACCATGCTAAAAATAAATAACATAGTAAAATAGTATAAGCATTTTTGTTGCTCGAACTTTTCACATTACTGAACAACACTGGTATAATATAGGGCTACGGGTATGTATGTATGGTTAACCCACAGTAAAACAAAATGTGTGCACCTTGTCTTTAAATCAACAGTACCATAGAACATGGAAGAGAATTACAAAATGTTGAAGCAAAACAGCCCGTTATCATTCACTGACTAGAATCACATATAGGCCTCTAGGACCTTGTTTCCTAATTGTCTTTTTCTTAATATATATTTAAAAATAAAAAAAAAATGTATTACAGAATCGAGTGACAAGGCGAAACAATATTATTGAAAATGTCAATAGACGATGTCATTTACGTGATAAATGACATCATTAATACATTAGTCATCAGAAAGTGGTCATTATGTTCAAGAGGCCATTATGGATATTGTTGATTTTATGAATATTTGCATTCACACCTGACTGAACACATTATGCTAAAAGTTATTAATAGTATTGGTACAAAACGTATGAATGTTAGTGGGATAGTGACGGAACGAATCAAAATAAAGTAAATTAGCAACCGCATAAAAGAAAAAAAGCCGCCAGATGTTAATAGTGTTGTAAATCAAACTATAGTGAGGAATCACTTAAGCATAATATTCGTTATCTTAACAAGTTCTTTTTGGCGGTTAAGTATACATATTTGCATATTCTAAAAAAAAAATAACCCTATAATTTGTTTGTGTCTATCAAATGTTTGAACTCAAATGAAATTTGCATGAATAAAACAATGCACAAACCAGCATTTTAACTATGAAAATAAAGTATATTGGCAACCGCATAAAAGAAAATAAAAACCACCAGAGTTAATAATAGTGTAAATCAAACTATGATATTAATAAGGAATCGCCTAATCATATTCATATATCGTTAATATGCTCTCTCTGGTGGTTAAGTGTTCATATTTCCGTCTTCTAAGAAAATATAATTAAAAAAAGTGTTTATTATAGTCCTGTTCTATCAAATCTGTTGAACACAATGTTATTTGCTTGAATAAAGCAATCCACCAACCAGCTTTAAACTAGGATCGTATTGCAGACGCTTCGTCAAATTTAAATTCGATTTTAAGCAACAGTCAGTATCGATCACGAGTTCTCTTTATATAGTGTGCTTCAATAGACGATATTGATCATGTGTTAAAGGATGGATATAGTAAAATAGTACAGGCTTGTTTTCCACTGGTGGTGGGGCTACCGTTTCAATCAAAATTCGTTATTTCTATTCAAGACAATTCTTATTAAGGTCTATAATATTCAGAGCATGTTTAAGATGATTAGCGAGGGCGCACTCAAACCTTAATGCATTCTAATGACAGCCTAACACTAATGACTGAGGGCAAATTCGAGGTACTGTTAAACACTAGAAGTAGTGTTGACATTTATGAACAATACATAAACCTTCAGCTCTTATAAAATTTACCAACCTAATTCGGTAAATACACACTTCTTTGAATTGTTTATGCTCGAAGAATAAATGTCAAAATTAAAAATGTATTTCTGAAAGCAACAAAAAAATAAATAAAATTTAATTAAAGACAGGCATAATTGAAACGTAGAGCCAAAATATTTTTAATTTGCTGTAGGGAGTATGACGCTATTCGTTTTCTCGTTCATTCATTATTTACAGTCAGATCATCCTACATCTTTTAATAGATTGCATAATTCATCATGTCAAATGGGTTGTACGGAACATAACCAACTTTAATTACTTACACAGCATTATTTCCGCTCGAAGAAAGACACAGTTTTGACAATAACATTTCAATCAATTTAAAATCAAACCAATAACAACACGAAGTAGGCCCTACATTTTGATCGTACCGTGGTCTCTGTTACTTTTACTTGTTTAATTAGCCCTGGTTGGTGTCTCTCCAAATGCTACATTTGGGCCTACTGTCCCAAATATTAGATGTAAAACAAAACAACAACAAAAACAACATGGTAAATATCTAAACAATAAACAAACAGCATTGAATTAAGTAATGCAATAGCCTACCTAGGTTAGTCTATCCATGTGCGCATATTATTCAGAATCACAGCATACGTCAAACCTACCATATGTTGAATATATTAAGCAGAAAGGCAGGTATTCAAGCCAAATGCCCAGTGGCCGATCGTCTGTTGGCAAAATGAATCTTCTGCTTGCGCCGTCTCGGGCGCTCCAACGTAGGTTTACTTACTTTCCCAGCGCTAGGTCCTTGTTTCAATGCGCTACTCGTGACGTGCTTCACTGCTGACTAGCCGATATGTTTCCACAGACATATACGATTTCCAGTGTTGGTCCAATAATAACACAGCTTGCTCAAGCATAATGACATTGTTTGTCTCTAGGAGCAAGTGACTTAGTTCCGTGAATCATCGTCTCACGTTCACTTCACATAATTAAATTTTGCAAGGCCTGGAATATCTTCACTTTTAAACGATAGGCTTCTGTTAATAATGATTTTCACAAGCGTACAAATCGTATCGTTATTCTCGCTCGCATTCCTAAGGTGAGTAAAATCATTCAGAGAAAAACACGACTGAATACGACGACAAACCCGTACGTCATCCAACCAACATAACTCGTCTACAATTATCTCAAGGTAATAAAACACAAAAAACGGCCGACCACAACAATAGCCAGGTATTATTACCTATAAAAGCATGTTTTACACTGTGTGATACACAGCCTTAGGTTACCACACCAACAGAACGGATTTATTTCTGTTTTTCATTGAAGGCTTTGTTAAATCATTCCACAATAGAAATGTTTCTATATTAACTATGTGAATATACGTTACACTTCACAGACACACTGATATCTGACGGAACATATTATGTAAATAGACATTGGCAAATCTCCACAAAGGACGTTGAACATGGTAAATAGGGGGTACTTAAAGTTTCATAATCAAATTTAAACAATGACCAACCGGAACAGAAACTGAAAAACAGTCGGTACACTAGACAAGCATTAGAATGTACGTAGACAACCTGGGATTATAAATTATAATATAAATTCTGATTCAGTATACATTTATTTAACCAATAACCAATAAGAAACAATGACATAAAGTATAATTTAAAACAACAAAATGAGCCCATATACTGTCTCTTAT